CCCCCACCCCCACCCCCCGTTCTTTGACAGTGCCTCTTTGTCAAACACACAAACATATTGTGAGCACACATGCATATGTACTTGTATAGGTGCACATACATACACAGATTTACACTACTACATAGACACACATGGGAACACACACACACAAATGCGCTCACACACACATACATACACATACAGACACATACACCCACACACACATAAGCACACACACACGTACACTCACACAAACACACTCACATACACACACAGATACATATACACACAGAGATGCACATACACACATAAACACACACACATTCATAACGCACACATGCATCCACACATATACACATACACACTCACAAACACACACACACACACACACACACACACACACACTCACACATTTATTCAAATTCAACGACTGGCACTTACTAATCAAGTATCATTGGCCCTGCAGTGATATCTGCCCAGGGCCTGACGGGCAAAGACAAGACGGGGACCAGCGACCCCTACGTCACGGTCCAGGTGGGCAAAGTGAAGAAAAGAACCAAGACAGTGCCTCAAGACCTCAACCCAGAGTGGAATGAAAAGTTCTACTTGTAAGAATATGTTCTGATTTCTTATTTTTACTTCTTATGGGTCTGCTAGTCTGTGATTCTTTAGATTAATTCTTGAATGCTGACTGCTTTGACGTAGCAAGGTATGAATTTGATCAGCCATGCAGAAGTTAAAGGTTTGAATCTTAATTGGGTCCAAACTCTGATCACCATCCCTCTCATTATGTGTTGGAGATGTCTTAAATTGTGCATAGTAGAACGTCTACTTCAGTAAGAACTTAAAACTTGACTAGTACTCTGGCTGCTCTAAGTTTATGTTAAACAGGTTTGATCTAAAAAGTAAATCACTAATTCTGTGAGATTGCTCTAGAAATTAGAGATTCCACACTAGCTTTAGAGAGACTTTAGTTAAGATTCAAAGTAATTGTCTACATAACATGTAATTATAAAGGTACAGTTACGTACATAGTGCTGTTATGCTCAAACATTTGTAGTTTAATACATTTGACTTGCTGGTTTTTATCATCTGCAATATGAAGATTTTTATAACAGAGTTGCATTGTGTTTTGTTTTATTTGAGATTAACAATCTAGTTCCCTCTTTCCAAGAGGATGGCAGCTTTATCGCTAAAAGGAAAGGGTTTTTAAACTGTGTAGCTGAATATTTAGTACATTTTATTATGCTGAAGCCACAATACAGATCTCTCTTAACTTTTTTTCCCTCATTCCTTGTGTCTGTTCACATGGCACATTTGTTTACTCTCTAGTTATAGCTTATTTCTACGACTCTTCTTTAGCATTTCATAGTCTACTTTTAAGTCACAGGAGCCTTAGGCAAAGTATAATCCTGTGATTATACTTGAAGGGGTTTTCATTGTGGAAAAAGAGTGAATGGGAGGGGTCTTTTCTCTGCCCTTTTTTGTTGCTGTTTAATATCTTCTGATCTTATTTTCATATTTTTCGGTCTTTATTCTCTCATCCTCAGTGAGTGTCATAATTCATCTGACAGAATAAAAGTTCGAGTATGGTGAGTAATCCATTTTTAGAAATGTTTAAAATTTCTTCACATTTGTGAATTAATTATCTTAGATGGGTGCACTTTCAAAGAGTTCACATTCTCATCTGAAGGTTCTAAAGGGTAGCCTAATCTGGATTTATGGGATTTATTTTTGGTGTGATTTAAGGCACTTACAGATTGAACAAATGCCACTCTGTCTCTTTACTGAACTGACTTTGCAGGAAGAGACATGCTGCTCTTTCTACTCCTGCATTGGTCGGACATTCCAAAATAATCATGTTTTCTGGTACTAATGAGACTCCTTCCTTTTGCGTATTTGTCTGATTTCATTGTCTTTTCTTTTGTTTGTCAGAAGGACAGTTTGTTTGAATTTGGGTTTTTTAAAATGATAATAACAAGTAATTCAGGGTTTTGCATAGTGGTTAAGACTCTCACTTCTTCATCAATATGTCTCACGTTTTGTCTTTCTCAAGTCCCTTAAGATTATTTCCTTGTTCTCTTCAAGACTCTTTGAAACTTTCTCAGTTCTGTTGTTCATAGACGTAAAAACATGGTGCTACCTCTTAAGTCATCAGTCAGTGCTGAAAGGGACAATGAATACAGTGAAAAAGAGAAGTGAGCGTAGAGTATCACCATACTTTGGAAATTCTCCCTGACCTAGATAGTTGAAGAAGAAAACTACAGTTGACATTGTCTACGATGGCCACCCATTGCCGAAGAGAAAAGTGGTTGTTGGAGACAGTGGGACGTCTATGCTGCCTCTGAGTCGTTCTCTTTTATGTGGTTTTGATGGTGACAGACTGTATTCAGTCATTTCATTGTACAGTTGCAAATATCCGAGATGGGACCCCCATTGTGGAGGAGAAAGAAGGTAGTCTTAGACAGTGTGATAACATTATATTATTTTTAAAATGCAAGGGGGAAGTGGGAAGCTGTTGTTTGTACAGGTGATTACCTGGCGTAGGTGGCTGTTACAGCAAGTTTGACTATTTTTCCTCCTCAGTCGACTTTTTCTAGACTGGCACTGACATTCCTTACTTCATTTGTATCCTTCTATTCTTTCAGTCTGTCAGGTATTTTATTTCAACTTAAAATTGAATTTATTGTTTCAAAGTTCTCCTTTTTCCTCTAACATCCTCTTTAAGCTAGACTGAAAGCTGAGTGAAGAAACTGAGACCTAATTATTTGAAGTCTCCACAATTTTGAATTTCTATCCCCCCAACGAACTGTCTCAGACAGTAAGCTCTTCATGTTACACAAGTGAACTGCAATTGTAATCGAGAACAAGTAAACAGCAGAGTTATTGTAATTTAAGCAACTTGTTTTCATCCAGGAAATATACATTCATCGGTTTTAGATTTCTCATTATTATAAACTGAAAGTTACTGTTGTTTATCGGGTAAATGCCTTTGTTATTATGGACAATATTATTTTTGAACAAATACTTCTAATCAGTGGGCAGATAACTGTCTTTTTTTGTACAGTGTGAATAAAAATGTTTGAATATTATTCTTTTAATATAAGAGCAAAATTTGTTGAAAATTTCGAGACAGAAATAGTTTCATTGGGAAGAGACAGAGACCACAATATAATAATATCATGATATTGACCGCCGGCATTTGAAGTTGTGTGAAAAAAGAGAATGTTGTTTGTTATTGCAGTTGTTGTTATTGTTTTTATTTTTTAAAGTTGGGAGTGCTGACCTTTTTTCCTAAGGTACAAAAATAGATTGTCTTAAAGGAAATTTTTTTATGTGGATTGAAATTTTAAAAAGAGTCATTTTGATCCTTCTGCTGTGTAAATGGACAGATTTTTATTCAAATAAAAACAAACACATCTTATTTACTAGTGATTGTATGCATATACATTTTTTTAGCATCGTTTATTTCCTATTTGTGTGGCATCATGAAATTGGACGCTCATCAAAATAATGAAATCAAAGAAGTCAACATTTTCGTCAGTTGGACAGTTTTATCAGACCCACGCACTTCCCAGCTGTACTGAACAATTTCTGAGTGTTGTCTCAGTTGCCATCAAAATCAAAGCCATCGTCAAAACAATCACTTTATGAATTAGATGGTTGAACACACGAAGACTTTTGATCAAAATGCAATAACAGCTGATCAGTTTCGAGATTGGAAAATCATTTTCGGACTGCAATCGTTTGTTTTCCACTACTGGAGGCCTCTTCAAAATGCCAGATTTAATCAAATTTAGGCTTGCGAAACACACACCATAAAGCAAATATCCTGCATTGTTCGTAGAAAAAGTATGACACTATAAAAGACCCAAAACTTATCTAGAGTGCTTCTCTTTACTCATGTGACTATAGACAAAGGCAGAGCTATCCTTTTACTGAACTTTAGCTTTGTCTTGAGATGATATTGGTTTTGCGAGAATACTTGTGAAACGCACAGGAGTGGGACCTCGTTGTGTGAAAATTCTCGTCAGTAGCATTGAATGAGTTAATGGGCCTGATTCCACCATTCCGTAACATGTTTTGTTTGTGTTTTTCTCAATTTTAAAAAAATTTTTGTAGAGGGTTTTATGGCGCTTGCAACTGCATAAGGTCATATGAGCGCCAAGGGGTGGATGTCAACAGAGAAGTCCTTACAAGGAATTAGACTTACTCTGCTCACCTCTCTAGCTTTAACAGCACAAGGTCTGCTTCGACTATCAAGGCACCCCGGAAATAGCAGGTCACAAGAGAGTGACAAACATACAAAAGAAGTAGAGGAAAAGGACAATAGTAAGGACTAGGAAAGAAAAAGCAGCAGTTCCCCGTTGTAGATCAGGCACAGTTATGAGCCTGACATGATGAATCAGCCCATTTACAATTCTACTATGCTTGAACGAGAAATGCCCCCCCTTTGAGAATGGCCTAAAGACACTACAGTCAGTGGCGCTGCCCCGGGGGGGTAGTGTTTTTCTCTACTCTGTATGTTTCAGATTTGTTATCTTCAATAAGTTCTCATAAGATATAAGATAAGATAAGATACATCTTTATTGTCCAGATTCTGGCACATTGGTTTGGTGTTTCGCCAGGTGTACACACACACACACACACACTTACACACACACACTCACACCCACACACACACACACACGCACACACACACTCACACACATGCACACACACGTAGGCTTACAATCACATGCATAATATAATTGAGCAGCAATATAAACAATAATAATCTTAAGATATACACACTCAATGTTAAATGATGCATGCTCTAAGGTCGTAATTGTACTTATACAAGATGCTTAAGATGGAAGCATTTTGATAGATGATTGTAAAAATGACCTTCTATATCTTTCTTTGTTACAGATCAGAAGCCTAGGTCTTTTACTTCTGACTGATGATTTTATTTGAGGGAACAAGGGATGTTTGTTGTCTAAAAAAATGGAATTAATTTTTTAGTGCAAGCTGTTATGTACAATTCATCCAAGTAGGGGAATGTAGATGTTGAAATTTTACATGCTTTCCGTATTAATTTATTTAATTTTTCTTTATCTTGTTGTCTTGTGTTCCCGGCCCATGCTGTTATACAAAAATTGATCCTACTTTCTATGGTTGATATTATTGATATTATACCACCAATCTGACATCCTATGATAATTCTTTTTCTCCATTAGGGATGAGGATAATGATCTCAAGTCAAAACTTCGTCAGAAGTTGACTCGGGAATCAGATGACTTTTTGGGGCAGACCATCATTGAGGTTCGAACGTTGTCTGGAGAAATGGACGTTTGGTACAGTTTAGGTAATTCAATATTCTCCACTGTGTGTCATGGAATGATTTGGAAGATGGGAATGGTTGATTCTCTTTTCTTTTTCATTTTTGCTTTTTAGCTTTATTACATCAGCCAAGTTCCCAGCTGACAATTATTCATCAGTGTATGAGTTGACTTTAGCGCTTGGTGGGCATTCCAGTTTTAAATATTCATAGTAATAGTAGGCCTACTTGTAGTAGTTATTTCAAGGAGGCTGAATATAATTTCAAATCATATGGTAGTGCCATGAAATTGTTGTTTTTGTAATAATGCTTGGGAGATTATTACAAAATTTCTGGGAAATCAGGATGGTACAAATGGTTATATTGTCACTATGTAGACATTTCATACCACAAGTGCCACAAGGCTGTATGTTCCACGTAGGACTCAGATTGTACATGAGAATTAAATTGAGAGTTGTTGAGAAGTCATGGGAGCCTTCCGTGGGAATGAAATCATTATTATATTGAACAACTATTGACCTTTTGTAAAATTTTAAAACATCTTTTGACAACAGAGAAACGTACAGACAAATCTGCTGTGTCTGGTGCTATCCGTCTGCACATAAGTGTGGAGATCAAGGGAGAGGAGAAAGTGGCTCCGTACCATGTGCAGTACACTTGCCTTCATGAGGTAAGAATTTCTACTGAAGCCAGCAATATTTGTGGCTAGTCCATGTTAGTGAGATGTTCCACATCCATGAGTGACATTGAAATGACGGTTTAAGGATGCATCTGTAGGTCACTGGATGGTTTTTAGAAGTGGCTCTCGTGCCAGCATTAAATATAGACGGTTATTGTTTGCTTGGCAAAGGCCTGTGGTTCATCAATATCGGCCACTCTCACTCTCAGTGGACTAGGATCAGCTTCCTTGAATTGCACATAAAACTGAAGTGCACTGGAGACTTAAATGCAGTGAAATGAAACCTCCTAAAGGTCTTTTCATGAGCTAGATAGTGACTGAACAAACTTTATATTTGATTCAAAAGCATTTGATATTGTGTTCCAGTTCTAGAGGTTCTCAGGCTGAAGTGTTCCATGTTCAGGGTCACTGCCCATGTCTAGACCTGAGTTTGTTGGTGTGAATTTTAATGGAAGATTTTGTGAACTGGCCGGATGGTTGGAAGAATGGTGTCGTGGATAAGAATATTTTTTGTTCCTCTTTCATTTCTTTTTCTGATTGTATTACAATCTCCTCTTACAATGTGACCATTATTTTATGGGTGGGATAGAAAAGTGTTTTACAATGTAACCTGTAAGAAAGTGGGAAACGATTTATTCCTATGATTTGCTCCACGCGCCAGCTGTCTGCAGCAATTTTGGACCTCAAACAAGGGAGGTTCCAAGGCTGTTAGAACTGAAGAAAATAGAACAAAACTAATTGAAACGCAATTTCCGTATCTAGTTCTGAATCCCATTTCGTTTTGAAAGTGAAAGTTGAACTGATTTTTTAATTATTTTTTGTATATGTTCTGAAGTTATTTTTCCAGTGCTGTGTGTTGTGATTTTCCTCATAGCAGGAACCTGTGTCATCCACATACGGCTGAGCTAATTGTTAATGTCTGATCTATTACAGACATTGTGCAGCTAGGAGACTGATGAAAAGTCTTGAAATAATGTGGATAAGACATTGTCATACACATATAGGGCTAGTTGACAATTGAGCAAACAAGAAAAACAAAACCATTATCATTCTTCTTCCTAAGTACTAGTTAAACAATTAATGTGAGAAGAACCCAAATGATCAGCAAAATTGCATTCTTTATTCATTTTCATACTTTTTCATTTATGATGTGTGGTTTGTACAAAGTTAGTTTTAATACCCGTTCTATTTGTCTGAACATTAAATGGGATATGGTCCAAACATGGAGACATGTGTAGGCCCCTACTTTGAAGTGTTCCGAGTTTCTTTTCTTTATTACTAATTATACTTGTCTTTTGTTTGACAGAAGCTTTGTTTTATGCATTTAGTAAAAACATAACTATCTTTCTTTTCACAGAATCTCTTCCATTATCTCTGTGAACAAGCTGGAGGGGAAGTAAAGCTACCCAATGCCAAAGGGGTAGGTTTTATTGAATAGAAAGTGTCTTTGTTGTTATGGGTATATCTTTTAAAGAAATTTTTAAGTCGAATAAACAGCTCATTTGAATTATTAATAAATCTGCCAGTTTAGGCTGGTAGTAACATTCTTTTAGGCTAGCAATAAAGATTTATACATTTTGTATAATAATATGTACAATGCCTGTTTCAGCCTTCAAAAGTTTGGCTTGGACTTTTTTATTGAAATGTGTAAAAGTGAAATATAAGAAATAATAAAACAATGTTATAAGTTGCCTCTAAAGCATTGATTCTATTACTTGAGTAAATTTACTGTGGAAGAAACATTTTAAGTGGGGAATGATGAAGATGCTTTCTTAAGATCTTTTTTTCTGCTAAATTTTAATCAAAAGGACTTAGTTAATGCCTCTTTTTCAGTTGAGAGTAATGTTATCTGGGAAGAAAGGTTGTTTGGAGGGAGGTTACAAAACCACATAAAAGTGTCCTAAGCATTTTTTTTCATGTGAAGTTAATAATGTTGTCTGTGATCAAATTTTCTTTAGCAAGAATCATGGGAATAGTTTTTAACATGTACAACCCTGTGAATGTTTTTCCATCCAACTTCTCCTGTTTTTTTATGTTCCTTACACAAGTGTGCATGTTCTTTGTACAGACGGATGAGTCCTGGAAGGTGTACTTCGATGAACCTGGCCAGGAGGTGGTGGATGAGTTTGCCATGCGTTATGGTATAGAGTCCATATACCAGGCCATGACGTGAGTTCTTTCCACAATATATCATGTGTTTCTGCCTGATTGTAATCCACTTACTTTTTTTTTGTCTACCAGTTGGTTTTGATTTTTGTGAGAATTTAACAGCTCTTGCAATACAAATATATAGATTACATAAATGACAAAAGTTAGAGGTGTTACTGGAAAGTAAAATACAAAAAGAAGGAGGGGACATAAGGACAAAAGGTGTTTGAGAGGAAAGATGGAGCAAACCACAAGAGAGCATCCGCTTACCAGTTGAACTCTCAACAAAAGTCTCTTGAAATTCCATCTCCATTTTCTCTTTTCTCTCTCAAATATGACTTAGGTTTGTCGTCTAGAGTAAGATAATTTTCTTCTCCATAAGTCATAATCTGTTAATGCCCTAAGCCCCCATCTGACCATGATACTGAATATTTTTTGTGTGGACATGCAGCATTCTTGTCTCTGCAATTTTGCAATTGTTTATGCTTTAGTCCTTATTTTAAGTTTTACTAATCTTTCTTGAACTTTGTTGTCTCATATTTTTGTGAATACCTGTTTTAATCTTTAGATGTTTATATTTTCTTCCCCAGCCACTTCTCGTGCCTGTCTTGCAAGTATATGTGCGCCGGGGTGCCTGCCCTTATGAGCACATTACTGGCAAACATCAACGCCTTCTACGCTCACACGGCTGCCACCACTGCTGTGTCAGCCAGCGACAGATTTGCAGCATCTAACTTTGGGGTCAGTTATTTCAGGGAGTTGGGGAACTAGACATGAGGGTGGGGGGATGAGTGTGGAAGTCTGACCGATGGTTTTGTTTTCTTGGGAGGACAGGGTTTTACCGCCTGTTTGGGGCTAGAGATGTAGGATTTTGGCTGGTAAGGGATACAGATATAGGATATAGGCTGGAAAAATGGCTAGAGATATATAAAGTATAGGCTGGAATGGAGAAGATAGGTACAAGTGGAGCATATATACTACTAGAGGGAAGGGTTATGGAGTCTGGGAGCACAAGTAAAAGTCACAAGAATTATTGTTGTACCACCCTACTATGTGAGGATTGACTCTGGGCAAATACTTAAAATGGATAAAAAGAGGATAAGGGATGTATGTTGGGCACAGTTTTGAATTTCAACAGTGCAAAACATAAAAACACAGTAAAAATAATGATTTTCGCATAAATAAATATTGGCGGCAAGGTATTTTTTCTGTATATTATTAATATGTAGAATACCAGTAATGCCTTTATCAGTTTGTTTCTTCAGTGGTGTGTTGGTTTTTTTTGCTTGACTTGTATTACTTCTATGTAACAGTATCGCAGTTATATGTGGGCATTCATTTTCATTACAGAAAGAAAAGTTTGTCAAGTTGTTGGATCAGCTTCACAACTCTTTACGGATTGACTTGTCCATGTACAGGGTGAGTTCATTTCTCTTTTCCCTTGGGGCCTTGGCTCTTTCTGGACATATTTTTCTTTTAAATAGGTAAAGGAACTTTCCATGTCATTATATAACTCTTTTAGAAAATTACATTACAAAAAGTGTAGTTTCCTTGAATTCAGTGCTATTATTTTTTAAGTTGTGGGTACCTAAATAATGAAGAATGATATATTTAACTTTGGCAGGCAAAAATGACCGGTGAACATAATGGTTTTGAAAATAAATTCTTTCAGCTTCTTGAGCTGACACATTTTAGGGTTCTCTTTGTAGTATTTTCCATTTATGGAGAGTAAATACTGGTACACGGTACATACATTTTGTTTAATACAAGTGGTATGTGGCTATAGGTATTTTAGCTACCTTCTTGTCACTTAAATCCCTGTAAATTTTGTGGGTGGTTGGCGGGTGCTCTGGTGGGGTTTGCTCCTTCTTTCCTGTCAAACTTCTGTCATCCTCATCTCTCCTCCTTTTTTGTGTTTGTTACTCTCTTGTAACACTGCTAATCTTTGGCACTTATATGAGTTTATTGTGTTGCAAGTACCGTAAATCTCTTACTAAAACTAAAACTAAATTTTGTGATCGGTTTTGTTTGAAACATATAGATTAGAATCTTCTAAGTTTTACTTATTTTGATAAATATTTAGGTTGTGCAATGGGTGAAAGTAATGGAATTAATGACAGAATGGACAATATTTTATGGCAAACATTTTCATTTTTCTGTGATAGTGTAAGTTGGCTCATATTTTGTAACAACTTGGTATAAAAAGAGCCCAAGTGCTCAGTCAAAATTTTTTTTGTTCAAGTTGATTTTTATGCTGCTTCTGGGGGTAAGCACCTCTAAGACAATAAAAAAAAAAAAAAGAAATATGTTTTTATTTATGATGCCGTTTTTATTTTTCCAGAACAACTTTCCAGCTTCTGATGCTGGGAGGATGAAAGACCTCAAGTCCACTGTAGATTTGCTCACTAGTATTACTTTCTTCCGGATGAAGGTACACAATGACTTTCAATGATGTGCTAGCTTTTTATCAATTGATCCTAAAAGCTACTTACATATAGAATGTATACGCAATTTCAAGTAAGACACTCTCCCTCTGTCTTAGTTTCATATAGGTGAATTTTTTTTGCTTCACCTCAGAATGAGGCCAAGGTCAGAAATCACTGTAGTGCTAATCTTAGTATGTATGGAAAATTCTTTCAGTAGAATATAATGCGATTGATTTCATGTACTTGTACAGGTTTTACAGGCTAGGACAGTCTCTGATGAGTGGGGGGGGGGGTTACCATGGTTACCAAAACTCACCTAGACCTTCGTAAAAAGCTTTTATTTATTTCACGAAAAACAAAGTTATTGCGTATTCTGTATCATACCTTAATGTTTTAAACACACTAGCTTTGTCTTTTTTATGATAACTTATTTTAACACAAGGATATTTTAACTCTTAACTTGTGAACACATACCTATGCACGAAAGATAAGCACGTTCTCTCAATACTAACAAATCCTCATCTTAATTTGATAGGTTCAAGAACTAACCAGTCCTCCCCGAGCGGGCACAGTGGTGAAGGACTGTGTCATTGCCTGCATTAAATCCACGTACAAATTCCTGTTTGACAACTGCTCCGAGCTGTACAACCGAGAGTTCCAGACAGACCCCAATGAGCAGATGGCAGCCGACCAGGAGGGGCCTAGTGGCAAGAGCTTGCACTTTTGGCACAAGCTCATAGCCCTCATTGTCTCTGTCATAGAGGAGGACCGCAACAGTTACACTGCTGTGCTCAACCAGTAAGTTAAGATTGGTTTGACAGTAATGAGGCTTACCATATGATTCTGAAAAAGACTGGGGTTTTTTTCATGAAATCAGTGGAACCCATTCTAACGGCCACCAGTCCAAGATAATCATCTGTACAAATGACCACTTCCCATATCCTCTCTTGTATTTATTTTTTTTCATAATAATGAACCAGTCCAAGACATCCTCAATTTTCTCCTTGACAAGCAGTGGATGTCTTGGACAATTTGACTGTCTTGATTATTTTTGGGAGATCTTATGCCAAGATGTCTCAGAAGTAATTGAGAGTGATTTTTCAGTTCTGTACCACTGTTTTTTATATTAATTATTCTTCATTGTAGGTTATTGAAACGTAAAAATTTTACTGTGGAAACATCTGTAGGGATTCCAAAACTGAATCTACGTAGTTGCTGCATGTCTCTAAATTTGTAGAGTTTTTTAAAAAATTGGTCTGTCTTTTTCCACAGGTTCCCCCAGGAGCTGGTTGTTGGGCAAGTCAGTGCTTACATGATGTGGGACCAGTTTTCTCAGGACTTGTGCATAGCTCTACAGCGTATGTTGTCCATTTCTTATGGAAAAAAATTGACCTGCCCTAGATATAAGGCTGATATTTGACTTTGTGTATTTTTAAAACTGTAAGATGGTGATGTGACTAGGTAAAGCTGTGACATTTGCTAGACTGACAAAGGTGGCTGAAATAAGAACTTGCTTGAGCTATTTAATGAATCTTAGTTTTTCTGCTTAAGCCTCTGTAAATGCTCTCCTTTGTTTCTTTCATGACTTTGAAGGTGGTATACTACCACCACTTATCAAATGGTAAACCTCTTTTTGTTTTTTCATTTGTTCACCTGATGATCTTATCCGTGTTATCAAACCTCACCTATTATTTATTTTGCTTTCATTTGCAGAGCATGAAGAAGAGAGGACGTGTAAAAGTTCTGAATACATGAATCTGCACTTCAAAGTGAAGTGGCTGTATACCAAATATATTTCCGATGTGCCTCAGTATCGTGGCTCTGTGCCTGAGTACCCTAGGTAAGTCTCTTTTAGCCTACCGACCTATGCATGTTTGTATGTGTGTGTTTGAGTTTGAGAGAGAGAGAGAGAGAGATAGGGAGAGAGAAAGAGGTTTGAGGGATGGGGACTGAACATCAGCAGAAGATGCAATCCCTAATGGTAGAGGAATATACACTTTAACACCTCAGCCTTCTTTCCTTAGTTTTTTCCATGTTCTTTCCTTTTACCATTAGACCAGGCCAAGTTTGTTTGAAACGATTCTGGTTATGTCTTAGGAGAAGTTTGATTAGAAGAAAAAAAGTCTTAAAAATGACTGTTAATTTCTCCACAGATGGTTTGAACCATTTGTCATGCAGTGGCTCAATGAAAATGACGATGTGTCCATGGACTATCTCCACGGTGCCTATGACAGAGACAGGAAGGACGGGGTAAGCCTTGATGTGGATTTATTCTTCTCCTTAGTTCAAGACATTTTTCTCAGTAGATTCATAAATTTAGTGTGTTTACCTACAGCTGGAAGCAGTAAATGACTGTAGTAAAAGTATGTTTCGTGAATTTTTCATTTTATGGTTTAGTGTAGTTGCTCAGAGAAGAAATTCTGCATTGAACTCTGTTATTCTCGTCTCACATTGTATCATGCTTGGTGGAAGAGAAAATACATCTTTCTATATATTCTAGAATATATTTTAAATACCATGACTGAATTTAAATCTAAGATATTCATAGTTTTCTTTTTAGAAAAGTTCCTTTTGATTACTTTTGTATACAAGTACGGTTGTGTTATGCCTTGCTTTAGTTCTTTACAAGTACATTTTTTCTGGCCACAGTTCCAAAAGAGCTCTGAGCATGCCCTGTTCTCGACCTCGGTTGTGGATGTGTTCACACAGCTCAACCAGTGCTTCGATGTCATCAAGAAGCTCGAGTGCCCAGACCCAGAGGTGGTCAAAAACTACATGAAGCGGTTTGCCAAGGTCAGTCAAAGACTTAAGTCAGCTGATTCCCGGATATTTGTTGTTGTGACATATTATATACAGACAGTACTCACGTGATGGGAAAAAAGACCTATAAGTATGTCAACTATTTTATTCAGTTTTTTTAAATTTGGTATTAAACTATTGTTAGGTGAGAGCTTTCCAGGAGCAGTTTATTGATAATGAAGCCTGCATGTCTTATTATCACCTTTCTCATCAGAAATTATGTGTTTACTTTTTCTCCTTTTTCATTTCAGACTGTGAACAAAGTGCTATTAGCCTATGCAGACATTGTGCGAAGGGACTTTGAGAAGTACACCAGTCGGCAGAAAGTGGTAAGCACACATCTTGCTTTTCAATGTGCTACATTTTTACTTTTGAAACAATAATTTCTCGATTAATCGTAAAGTTATTTCAAAATGAGTGTGTTTTTAACTATTTTCGAACATTTTAATTTAAGAAATTGCAAGTCAAGAAATATGCTAACCTAGATGTATACCTTTGATAAGTGAAGTTGGAACTTTGTTGGGTTTTTTTTACTGTTTTACGTTTCCAACTTTCCTCACTATGAGTAATCAGTAATATTAGATGATCTATTTGATTATCAGTCTCTCACTTCTTTCTTTCTTCCCTTTTTGGAGAAGTTGTTTATTATTCTGCTTCTTTCTTTGACAAAGGTAAACTTTTTTCGAAGATGGTCAACATTTTGGAATGACGTGAATATGAAAGAAAAAAAGGAAAAGTGAAACTAAACAGTATCAGAAAATCAGTAATGTCTTTCAACTGGGCATAAATGATTTTTCTTGTTTGCCTCATGTTTGATGGGGGTTTTTGTTGTTTCTTTCAGGCGTGTATTATGATGAACAACATCCAGCAGCTACGAGTGCAATTGGAGAAAGTGTTTGAGTCCATGGGTGGGGAGAAGCTGGATGCTGATGCAGCAAACATCCTGAATGAGCTGCAGCAGAAACTCAACTCAGTCCTGGATGACCTCAGCTCCATTTTCTCCAAAAGGTACTGTACTGAGCAATGCTTTTCTGTACAGTCTAGCAGGCACATTGCAAAAAAAAAACTGGTGGGACATACAAATCTTTTCATTATGTACGATTTTCTCCTTTGTATGTGTTTTCAGAACCTCGGATAAAGATGTACAGAAAAAGGTTTGGGACCTGAAAATGTGTTTGCTATGTGGGTGATTCGCTTTGTGCGTGTTCACTATGTGCATGCTAGACTTTATATTACTCATCATCAGTTCTGGGGTTTTCGCGTGAGGATGCAGTGACATATTGTTGATATTGGAATTATTGTTAGTCTTTTTCAGTGGCAGCACAGTAAAAAGACTATTTTAGTAATCACAAACCTCTGGTCTTCGGAAAGTAATATATACTCGACTGTAAATCAGTATAGATGAGGATTAAAACTTTTCCATTTTTTTCCACCAGCTTGGAGCCTCAGATCCAGCAGAGCATGCAGGAACTGGGCGGCCTCCTCTGTAAGGTCAAGGGCGGAGGTCAGGTGTCCCTGTCACAGCCCAGCCAGCGCTCCAGCATACAGCAGGAGTCAGATATGGTGCTGAGACCCCTCATGGACCTCCTCGATGGCAGGTGAGGAGGCAGATGGAAAAAATCATCATTTGCCCACCCAGAATGTTATCTGTGAAGTGACCAACTCTTTAAAAAAATTATCTCACAGTCTATTGATGTCTGTGCAAATCTTTCTCTTTACCTTTATCATTTAAGGGAATAGAACAGCGTTTTAATAATTTTTTCTCCCTTTTCATTTTAGTTCATCCAGTAAAGTGCATCCGCAGATATTGTTTAGCACCATTTGGTTATGTGGCATATTTTCTGGTTGTTGAATATTTTGTTGAATACACGTGCTTTGTTGGAGGCTTTCGTGTTCGACTCAGCGGGGACATTGAAGATTCTCAGAAATAATATAGCTCACAGTCTTTAACAGGTTTCTTCTTCTTTGACTGTAAATTGTCAAGATCATTTGCTTGCATGACATTCCCACAGGACCTTTGAGTATTTCATTCCATTTTAGGTACTTTGTCCCATTTTCATGATCTGTCTGTTAAAATGTGTGTGCATGAACAGGGAGTGGAACTGTGTACTTTTGCATGAAAAGCAAACAAATACTAATGGACCCACCACCCATAAAGCGATCTGTATTATATTCAGCACCAGTCCCATACGTGCCCCCCCCCAGGCAATGCCACTGACTGAAGTGTCTTTAGGCCATTCCCAAAGGGGGACATTTTTCGTTCTTATGCTCAGTAGAATTGTAAATGGGCTAATTCAACAATGTCATGCTCATAACTGTGCCTGAACTACAACAGGAAACTGCTGCTTTTTCTCTTCCTAATCCTTGTTAAATCGTCATTTTCCTCTACTTCTAATGTATGTTTGTCACACTCTCCGCTATTTCCGGGGTGCCTTGAAAGTCAAAACAGACTTTGTGCTGTTAAAGCTAGAAAGGTGAGCAGAGTGAGCCGGAGTCCATGTAAAGACTTCTCCGTTGACATCTACCCCTTGGCGCTCTACTAAATAAAATAAGTCCCATACCTCATATAACCTTCTCCATTTGTCATCAGTACCGTATGAGCTGCTGCTTTTGCTATTTAACATTCCTAATTCAAGTGCTTGTTTCTGTCCTACTAACTGCTTGACCCTTGCCTGCCATACCCAGCCTGTCCATGTTTGCTCAAGTATGTGAGAAGACAGTGCTCAAGAGACTTCTCAAGGTAAATATATGAAAGTTGAATAGGATCAAAAGTCTTTGAGTCTGACATCACTTCTGCTAAATTTGAAAGCCATTTTTTGTCTCTTGTGACATCATATAACTTAAAATGTGACTTGTATCCCGTCCCCTTGAAGACTCGCAAGACATTATCACAACTTCCTGGGCCAGTCAAATTTTCCATCTTAGCCCTGGGGGGACATATAGCCCTGCAGACTATAAGTAGTTGAATATTATCATTCACATAAACGGGCAAGCACTTGTTTGTAATTTGGTGAAATGAGACTTTCGAGGTAATCTATCTCATAGATACAACATCCTGTCTCCTAGAGCCAGGAATAGGATCAAAAGTGTTAGAGTCTAACACACTTCTGCTAAAGTTGAAAACCATAATTTGTTCACATGTGACATCATTTAGCAGACCGACAGTCTAACTTTTAAAGTAATCATTTGTTTTAGGGCAATATTGTTTTACAGTTCTGTTTGCAGTGTTTAATCTTTGTAATGTCTTCAACTCTAGAGAAGTCTATATGATTGCTCCTTTACACGTTATGCATTGTCAGGCTCTGATATATAACTGTTGAGTGTGTGTTGTTAGCCTGATAGGGCTGTTTTAGAAAATACTGTCTTGTCTTTGCGTTCTGATTGACCTTTTCCCTTATCAAAATCCCAAGTGCACACCTGTATAAATTTAGTAAGGAAAAAATCTTGTTTTAAAGAATTTGCAAGTTTATTTCTTTTCAGTTAAACTGTAGGCTAAAGTGACTCATGTTGTCAAAAAAGATATGCAAATGATCACCATCATGTGTTGACATTTTCTCTCAGGAATTATGGAAGATTGTGATGCACACAATGGAGAAGACAGTGGTGCTCCCCCCACTCTCGGATCCTCGCCAGGTCAGTAGTTCTTCAAGAAGCCCAGCACAGACCACTTTTTGTACCAGTACCCAACTAACCTTACAGATGAGGGGCTCAGAAAATATTTTTTTAAAATACGAAAAGATAACCCCAATTATGCATGAAGGTTTGGGGTTTTTTTATACTTCAATATGAACAGTATAAGACATGTCTCTCTCTCACTCTTTCTCTCTCTCTCTTTTATTTTTATTGAACACCTGTTGCACAATTCTCTTATATTATAACTCTTACATTTCAATTTGTTATTGCTCTAAACTTTTTTGCATTTGCTCTTTCTTTTCAAATCATTTGATCACACCATATGCATTTTGTTTTTTCTTAATAGAGTTATATAATTATAAGCCTTTTTGGTGAGTTTTAGAATGACAAAATCAATTGTGCATATATTTATTTAAAGGCTTTTTAGTGTTTGTAAGAAAAAGAAGAGGGTATGATAACTGCAGCTGTAGGCCCTACATATTCCACAATTCAACCTTATTTTGAGTCTATCCATGAGAAAAACAATATTCTCACGATCATTGCATTTGAACTATGATATTCAGGTTGCAAAACTGAATTTTTTTGCTTAGAGATCGGAAGTTCATTTTATCGTGTATTTAGTCGTCAGACTCTGAAGACTTAGTCCCGGTAAGTATTCAAACCTGTCAGGGTCTCTGTGCTGTTGGTGGCTAGAGGGAGTGAAAAAATGTTGATGGTATACACATTGTCTTCTGTCAGTGGCCCCCGGAACGTTGGAATCCAGGTGTTGGCGCAGTGTGTAGAATTAGCGTTATATCTGTCATTGACTTACAGAAAATAAGTTGAAAAAGTGGAAGTGATGAGATGTACGAGCTGTGTGTATAATTGAATGCTTCACCTTTCTCCTTAATCCTTGTTTTCAAGACATTCATGTTTATTTCTGGAATATGGGCTTGTTACAACCCCTTTTGTGATTGTGGCAGCTGAGTGACAGCGAACCTAACTCTTTGATAAACTCTTTTTTTTTCTGTTTTTTAAAAATATTTTCTCCTTCTACTGTTTGAGTTTCAAATCAGGATTTTGGCTTTTCGTTTCTTTTGTTGCACCTGGGATTGGCTTCACCCTTCATGGTGGTTGGGCGCCTCTTGTTCTTTCAGCTACTTCCGTTGCCTAGCAACGCCCAGGCCAAAATCGAAGACATGTCACGTCTGCTGCTGAGTCACGTGAGCCAGATGCCGATGAACACTCCTATGAAGCAGGTCAAGAGCATACAGGCCACCTTCCTGGTACTGGCCTCTTTTTGGGCTCACTTCTTCACGTCCATCTCCATGGACATTTTTCAGTGTTGTCACACAGTGTGTTGATATTGTGGCGCTGTTTACTGCTGGTGTGGTTATATACCACCCCTGCTACGCACACACACCCCCCCCCCCCCCCCCCCCCCCCCCCCCCCCCCCCTCCCCGTCACTCCATCCACGTTTCCTGCCCTGAGTAAATATTTCTTATATATAGAGATGTAGTATACTTGTCAGTATTTACCAACACACTCCCAATCCCCCCTTCAAATTGTCAGATTGTTAGGGAAGTGTTTCCAGTTTTTTGTAGTGCTGCGCTTTTCTTAAATACAGTCATCAATGTGAAGTTTGTCTTATGTTTACAAGCTGCTGGTTTGACCTCTAATCAATTCAGCTGAGTCTGAAAAGACAAGCACTGTTGGTCTTGAAAAAGCAAAGGGAGATGGGTCAGACTGGCATCTGTTTATAAAGTTCTGAACCGATTGGCTAGCATAATATAATATGTGTGAGAGACAATCAAGTCACACATGGCTATTCCAAGCTTTGAGACCTGAAAGGAAAAAGAATAAAACACAGTGTGGAATTTTTTGGTTGTTTGTTAACTCTTGAAAATTTGATTTATTTGGTTTAATAACAATTGACACATTGAACATTCAATTAAACTTAGGTATGATAGTCAACAGACATTATTTTTTTGTTTGCTTAAATAACTGTAAGAACACTATTCTGAGGCCATTTTTGCGGTAGATAAGGAATTTACAGAAAAAGTCTTGCTTTGTACAAAACAATTGAAAAAGCCTCTTCTAAAATGATTCTGTAAAAAAAAAAAAGGATTCTATTCAACTTGACGACGCTGTTTTACTTTTTGATAAGCAGTAATAGCTTAAGTGTTTGCGACTTGCTTGAGAGAAACTGTAGAAGGTTAGTTACGGAACATTCCTTCATTGTTTCAATATTGTTGTCTTTTTCCCTAACTTGCTTGATTTATATTTGATGTTGTTTCACAGAGTTCCCTCATTATGATTCCCCTTCTTCTCCTTAAGCCTTAAACATTCCCCTTTTTGTATGAGATTGTCTCCCATCCAAAAGCTGTCAAAGAGCAACATTATGAATTGATGAACATTAAGGTAGTCAGTTCCTCTAAATCATGCTCATATTTCATGTGACTGAGGGATCTCTTTCCCATTTTGCACCCCTCACCTCCACCCTGTCTTGGCAAACTACACCCCCTCTCCCCTTCCCAAGTCTTGCCATATATCCTTTTTACTGAAGTGAAGATGAAAATAGGCATCCTTTGTCAGGTGTCTTACCATGTTCCCACTTTTCTGATGAAAAGGCAAATAAATATAAGCCATGATTTTGTTACATAAATGTCATAGCATAGCTTGCTTTACTTTTATCCGCCGCTTATACCCTTTTGGGTGTCGCGGCATAGCATAGCAATAACCAAAAAGGAAAAAAGTGTCATCAAATTTTCTCAAGTCATGTTTTACTATTCTAAAGTAAGAGTCTAATGAACAGGAATAGCACTTTAGTGCTGCCTGACTTAAGCCTTTACAGATACAATCTCACAAACTTTCTGCTCTCCCAACCATATCTCAAATTTTGAGTTCTTAGAACATTTTTTAATTTTAACATTTCACAAGCCAAATTCTCACAGTCTTTCACATATGGAAAGTAGAACAGGCAAATGTCCCTCCTCCTTGTCCCCACCCCCACCTGTTCAGCTCAAGAAGAAGTCACTTTTTGTTGTTGTTTTTTTTATTGCAAAATGTGTTGTGTGCATGATTGTATCTGCATTTCAGTCACATACCTGTGCTCGTTTTTTAAAAGTTTGGAAGTTGTTGTTTTTTGTTAAAGAACAATCCTTTTCAGACTCACTTTTTCATAGTTACCAGTGATACAAATTGAGGGGAAAGGATTTACAATGTGTTTTAGATTCAATGAATGGGTTTCTTTTCTGTAACTGAATAGTGTATCTGACCTTTGTCAAGTTGATTCATGTTTATTTAATATAGGTACATACCTTTGATTAATAACTCTCTGAAATTTTACAACAGGGTGGACAAGCTCAAACCATAGATTTTACATATTTTTAAGATATAATTTTTAAGGTATAATAAATAGATAAGTTACTCCGCCTTTCCCATCAAGCATCTGTCATCTTTATTTCTCTTCTTTCCTTTTTTTGTTTGTTACTCTTTAGTAATACCTCTATTCTTGGACACTTATAATATGACCTATTTGTTTTGCAAGTGCTGTAAAACTCCTTGCTTAAACTCAAAGATCTCTACAAATACTTAAAGTGCTCACGGTAAAGACAAGAAGAACCGTAGATCTGAATATGTAGACTGGTTTTGACCTAATTACTATATTTTCTGTGGGTATACTCTTTAATATGCATGTTTTATACCTGTATGTAAGTCTTTAAGAATCTTACTCTTTCGGACTCGATCACATGTGTGCCACCTGTACCCTTGGGTGAACAGATGGCAGACCTTATTACTGTGCAGTGATGTAACTCTGGGGGTAATCCCAAGGTATCTTAGGTGCATAGGTCCTGTAGGCCAGTGAAATTGGGTTTTAAAGGTTAAGAAATTATCTACAGTGTTTCTACTTGTCTAGTTTTTATTTTCATGACTCTAATGTGTCCTCTTATGTTACAGCATGATGTTTTAATTATTTTTTTTTAATTTCATACTTACATTTAGTTTGATAGGGATTTTACAAAATTCAAATTGCTGGAATTTCACTTTAGATTGTTTAACACTTTGCAGTCACTTAATGCGATGGTGAAAATTATCCGTTCCGGTCACTTATTAGGCAGTTCTGGGACATGTCTGAAAAGTTTGTTGCGATCACTCTTCTGGCTGGGTGACCAAATGGGATATTTTGTACTGCTGGCTGTGTGACTGCAAAGTGTTAAGCTTTATGTGTTGTCATTGTGAAATGTCTAAAAGTCTGGGTTATGCCTTGTGCCATGACATATATGGTTTACTCTTCTTGCTATCAGTATATGTGTGCACTGTTGATAACTGTGATTTGAGTTTGGCCTTCCCTCGTAAAACCTACTTCCTGGATGTTGTTGATCAGATTGTCTGCTGTAGAGAGATAGTTTGAGGGGGCTGTTTGTATGTCTTTATTATTTTTTCATTGAAAATGTTGTTTTTTTGTGTCTGGCTTTCATTTTCGCCAATAGAAAATAAATGTTATTCTTCCAATGTAATTCTGTTTGAGTGAGTCTATTTATGTGATCAATACCAGGAAATGACGACTGTTATCAAGCTGACTTAATTGTCATAAAATGTCACTTTACATGTCTCTATGCAAGTCTTCCTTTTATTTTTCTTAGTGTCTTTTCCCTAAATCATTTAGTGCAGAAGCAACAATATATGAATGCCTTTACTGTCTCTTAGTACAAGTCTAAAAGTTTGTAGTGAACAGAATAATAATTTATATTTCCACTTGGTTTTAAAAGTGTTAATACTTTGTCTATGACATAGGACGAGTCCAATGATTCAGTTTATCTGAAGTATGTATTATCCTCATTCCTGTGTATGCACCCACTTAGGGTTGGTCAAAACATATTCTATAATTTATTTACATTTTAAAATAAGATGTAGCTTATACATGTGTTCATATCTTTAGATTTGCTTAGAGCTTAAGCAGCAATTCTCTACATATATCAGCAGTGGTGTGTCCATGATTTTAGAGTTGCTTAGGCATATTCAGCTCTTCAATTAGCATCGCTTGGACATTTATAGTACTTCCATTAGTGTCTCTAGTAATGTTTATGTATGTGTTTTCCTGTGACTCAGGACATGTCCAAGGAGGCAGAGAAGAACCTGAGCCCCAAGCAGTGTGCGGTGTTGGACATGGCTTTGGACACCATCAAGCAGTACTTCCACGCTGGAGGCCAGGGTCTCAAGAAGACGTTCCTGGACAAGAGTGCAGAGCTACAGTCGCTACGCTACGCACTGAGTCTGTACACACAGACGACTGACACGCTCATCAAGACCTTTGTCAGCACACAGACGCAGCAGGGTAGGCCTAATAAGTTCAGTGTACAATTGTCAGTGAGAGAAAGACTTCAGGGGGGGAAGGGGGGGGGGGGGGAGATTTACACTTGAAAACTACAGGGGAAAAACGGAGGTAGTCACAAACTGAAAATCGTGAGTGTACCAATTTCAACTGTTGGTTAATTATTGTTGTTAGATTTCACACTCAACAGCACTTAACAATAAACTGCCAATCAAACAAATATGAAGTTTTGAGTCTGCAAGCTTTTGAAATTGGCACCCTCACAATTTCCAGTTTGTGACTTCCGTCGTTTTTCCCCTGAGCTCTTCGCTTGTACTTTACAGCACTTAGTGTCTTATTGAAGAGTGCATGCAGGTGTTGTGTAAAATGTTTTGAATAAAGTAGCTATTATATTGCTTAAAACATTCTCATGTGCCTACAAAAAAAAGATATACCTAAGACAAAAATGCTGGATATAATTTACAGGGGGTTTTTTTCAGGAGAAGGGGAGAGGGATGGAACAAATTGTTCATTTTCATCTTTTTACGCTTGCATGAGTGCAGCTTGGTCTCCCTATGACTCTTTCTATTGTGTTGTGTGTTTGATTATGTGTTTCAGAGAAGCCAGGCCAAGAGGAGCCAGTGGGTGAGGTGTCCATACAGGTGGACTTCACAACACACCCGGGAACTGGAGAGCACAAGGTCACTGTCAGAGGTAAGTAGCCAACCCTCTAAGTGGCAAAAACTGGACTTAAGGAGGGGGGCTACACCTGGAGGCTATCTCGCTTATTACTGGACTGAATTTTACCAAATTTCACACATATAACAAGCATAGTAAGGAGTCTTAAAATCTGCAATCAAATTTGAGAAAAAAGTTTCGTTTCCATGGATACGTCGCCATATTGGATTTTATTGACATGCCTTACGTAATGAATACAGCACTTATCGCTCATGGAAATTGATTGTTTTTTTGCATGCGTGTTTACAAACATTAGATCTAAAAACTTGTCTGTTGTTTTTTTCCTAATCGAATTAGAAAATTTTTAATGAATTTTTTCCTGAGGTAGCATTCAAGTTTGCGAAAAATCCGTGAAAATCCACACTCCAGACACCACCAACAAAAATCTATTCCATATATCAAAAATTCAACAGACAAATTTTTAGTATTACCTCTTCTCTTCATTCTGTGAAAATTTCATGAAGATTGGATAAAAAATGGTGGAGTTATTCAAAAAGGTATAGAGAAAAGTCGCATTTTGAGAAAACGGCCGATAAAGAAAAATAAAATACTGACTTTATGAGGAAATGGCGGTTACAAACATGCCAGGTATGAGAAAAAATACGGTTTTTGGGGGTTCTTAGGCCATGGAATAGTTGTAGGAGAGGCTGAGGAAGCTAACAATGCCTGCAACTCAAATTCCATGATTTTGAGCTGAATTTTGATTTTGGGGGTGTAGCCCCCCCCCCCCCCCCCATCCCCCCCTTAATTGAAGGAAACTCAAAAATGATTTTTTACCCAAAAAATGATTCTTTCTTCTTTTTGTTTCTTTTCTTTCTATTTTTGTATCCCCTGATCATATTAGAATGAGGACAGGAAACTGATGACATGATTATGAATACGAAATGGGATGTCTAGGATTTTTTTCTCTGTTGTTATCATCTAAATCCATGTGCGGTGGTGGTTAGAGGGCGCTGCTTGTAGGTCGTACTGTTTTTTCTTTCCCTCAATTGTTTCTGTCTGTCTTGTCTTTCTGGCTAATTTATTACCCCTATATAACGTTCTAGTAGTGATGTGCTTCTCCTTTCTCTAACAAACAAAGTCAAGTGCACTGGATCTCTCTGCTCATGGCATTCACTTTGCACCATCGTGTTGTGTTTTCTCTCTTTTTTTTTTTTCTCTATGCAAACAAACACATAGACTCACACTCACACACGCACGCACACACACATGCATGCACACACACACACACACACACACACACACACACACACACACACACACACACACACACACATGTGCACACACATCCATTCACTCACATACACACTCAAGCATAGCTGTGACATTTTTTCTTGACACAATGTCTCCTTGACAGTCTTGACTGAATTAGTGACCCTACTTTTCAGCCACTTCTCAAGTCTCTCTGATGGCTTCAAATTCTATCTTCCAGCAATTCTTTCATATGTCTCATTTCAGTGGTAGCATGCAATGACCTCAAGTGGAGAACGACTGGAATGTTCCGGCCTTTTGTGGAGGTGCATCTGATTGGTCCACACCTTAACGACAAGAAGAGGAAACACTCCACCAAGTCAAAGTCAAATAACTGGAGTCCCAAATATAATGAGACCTTTCACTTGTGAGTTGCCTACATTTTCCTATTCATATGCTGCCAATTTCTCTGATTCCAAGTGGATTTTTTTTTTCTGTTGTCAACATTTTGTCCACAGAATGTATAGATACCTTAAATGATTCAGTTGGGTTTTTTTTGCCTTTCTAAACATTTTTCCTTCCTTTCATCAGATGTAAACCTGAAGAAATAATTAATTTGAAACTTTGTTTTTGGTAATGTGGCATACTTACTTGAAAACTGGTCTTTATTCTTTTTGCACTTTCAGTTAATAGAGGGTTTGTATCTTTTGAGGGGCTTATGCTGTTTACACTGCCTACACACCTAGAATGTGAAAATGGATAAGATGAGCAATCATACATCTAATGTTCATGATCAGGCCAGTTTCTATACAAATGTTATGTACACGAAAAAAGTATAGGCCATTCCTATACTACCACACATACACAGTGAAGAAAGTATCATTTTCATTTGTAAACTATTTCGCAAAATTGAAATAGTTTATTCTGTGTTGTTGCGTCATTATTTTTTGCATTTGCTTTTTTTTTTTTACTGTCGTCTGTATTCTACTCATATTTTATGTCCATCTTTCATTTCTTTTCACAGCAACTTGGGGAATGAGGATGACCCCTATGCCTATGAGCTACAGTTCTGTGTGAAGGACTATTGCTTTGCCCGTGAGGACCGCCTCATCGGTATTGCCCTCATGCAGCTCCGCGACATCATTGAGCAGGGAAGCTGTGCCTGCTGGGTGGCTCTGGGCCCTCGCGTGCACCTCGATGACACCGGGTTCACCGTCTTGCGCATTTTGTCCCAGCGCACCAACGACGAAGTGGCTAAAGAGTTTGTCAAGCTCAAGTCGGAGTGCCGTCATCTGGAAGAGGTTCAGTCGTGATGAGCCTGCAATAACCACAACACGCGCTTGTCACTCTGCCTAGTGGAGAGAGCGAGAGAGAGCAGTTTGTTGGCTCTCCCTCCTCCTCCTGCTCTGCCCAGTAGTTTCACGCTGCCTATCCTGCCGCTCAGAGAGTGGTCTTGCAGCGAGTAGAGTCAGTGGTGTGGTGATCGTCTTTCCCCAAGACGGAAATCTCTTCCCTCCTCCTGTGTTGATTCCTGATCTGTTGCCATGCGACAAGATGCTTATTTGTGTGGACCTTGTGGGGGTGTGCTCTCCTTACAGCTGCCTCCTGGGGTAGCCACATGGAGGATAATAACGCAGCCATTTCTCTACAAGGCTTCCCTGGTATTGACTCCTCTGTTGAAGCATCTGCTATAAAGCAAACTACAGCTGTGGTTTTTGTTTTCATCTTACTATGGCGTCCAGCAAGTATTACATGCTAACTATGACTGCATGGTGTAGACTTTTATACTCTTACTAGGCATCTGCTGGTCTTTGTTTTAGTTTGAATGATACTGTTGTGAACTCTTTAAGAATCTAAGATCACCCATTTTTCCTCTGAACCCTGAAAAATTCAGAGTACTTCATGCTCATTGTCTTCTTTCTCATGTGATTAAGAACAAAAAGATAAACGCATTGCAAAGTCCCAGGTCAAATGCAGAGGGCAAGACATTCTTAATATACTGTTCTGCCTTATTTGGTGCACTAAGTTTCCTTCCAATCCAGGATAAGAAATATTTTAGGAATGCTAGATATCAAAATATAATTGAATAACTACCTTCAAAAAAGAAGTTTCTTGCAGCCAGTCAAGAAGGATTATTTTGTTAAGAGGAGTTGAGGAGGAAAATGTGTTGAGTGTCTTAGGGAAGGTTAGGTTTGTAGTGGGGCAGTTTATCATTTCTGTTGTTTGTTTTTTTCTTTGTTATGGCAAGTCCATGGGCTGCATGGTATTCATTATCCCAGAGACATCATAAGTCTGAAAGGAATAATAACATAAATTATTTTTCTGCCATGAGAAATGAATTTAGAACTTTCCTTTCTTTTTTGCAGCCTCTATTTCAGTGTCTTCCTCAAGTAAAGCTGTAATTTATATGATTATGATACCCAACACATCATTTTTCACTGCGTAGATCATTCAAATAGAACAGTGTCGTGCTTCATACACTTCAAGTTCTTGCCATGAAAACCACTTGACTGGCTGCATTACTTTTGGGGTATCACGCGCATTAATTTCCACCTTTCTGATGGTGCATTTTAGGATTAGTTAAAAGTTTTTATTTTATTGCACTCTTTAGTGCTTATAACTGTAGTCTGATTTTCTTTTCAGGATAGTTTAATATTTAAAAAAAACAAAACAACAATAGTTATCACTGCTTTTCAAATCGCCTTTTCTTTCATTAAGAAACATTTAATTCTCACACTACTCCATATCATCAATCTATACATTCAGTACTTTCTTCATTGTCAAAACGGGAAATACAAACTACAGGCCTATGCAGACTCTTCAATTTTGTTCTTCTGTGTACAGGATGAATCGGGTCAGGTTGTTTATAAGCTATATTGGACTGGATCGATGTGATATGACTCATTTATTTAATCTGTCCGAGTTTATTAATTCCATGTGTGACAGTTAACTTCTTTTATGGTGGTGGGAGTGGAATATTTGGCAAAAGACTTTTCCGTCTTTTGTCTTTGGAATTTTCTTGTACGAGGTGTTTCATGCATACTTATTTATGAGCAGGTGTAGTTGCCATTCCTGTATGTAGTTAGAGAGGAAAACAGCTTTATACAGCGTTAATGCTATAATCTCTCCTTATGCTCAGTGTATAGGAATTAATACATGAATGTGTTATCATGGTGATATTTGTCATTTTCTACTCTTTCCATGTATCGTCACCATTTTTATACATTGCATTTTCTTGTTACTTTACCAAAGCTGGTTTCACGGTGCATATGTTTGCCCAACTTGTTATGACATTTTACAAATGGTGAGTGTTTTCAGGCATCTTTGAGTGGACCAGAAGAGAGTAAATGGATGTGTGGCAGGTTCACCTTAATGAATATATTTGTATGCCAAGGTTCAATATTATTTTCATGCTGTTTTTTGTCAGCGTTTGTTCCCCTTCCTACAAATTTTATAAATGAATGCTGTTCAAAATATGCTTTATCTACTGTTTCAGTTCTTTTTTCTCCAGTTCTTGGTTCTTGGAAAGACAATTTGAAGGTCACAGCTTGAAATGACCAGTTTGTTAATGAGATCTTTTGAAAAAAACTCTCACAATGTGATATGGTTGTGTTGTGATTTGGCAGAATTATGATTAGTATTTTGGCCTTGAGGGAGAAAACACTTTGGGATCACTATTTGGCACTTTGATGTGACTCCCCTAAAACTTTTAGTATCTAAAAGGGTTGGATTTTTACTTCTTTCAACCTTCTCAGAAAAGTTTTAGAGTGGAGAAAATTCTACTAGTGCATGAGCTCTATTAAGTTAAAAAGGGGTGAGTGATATCTAACCTTGGAACGTTGTAACACAGTAGGTGTAAGACTAAATAGAATATCGCCAAAGTATTTGGTAGAGTCAAAAATAATGTTTATGTCCTCGCCATTGGTATCTTTCGGTGTGTTTCTTTAAAGATTCTTCCTCGAAAGATACTGTTATAATTATATGGTGTACTCCTAGCAAAGTCATTTTAATATAATTTTGTTGCATTTAGCCATTCAAGTGTTCTAAGTTTGTTTATGTTATAGACATGCATGTCTCGCACCCTGTTGTATTATTGGGTATATAACTTATATTTTTTTCTTCGTTTTTCTATCCTGATTGTTTAATTGTTGTTTTTTCTTTATATTCGTCAAATGATAAGCCTGTAGCTATTATTTCAGAGAAGCCCTAACCTATGATTGGTCTTTTTTCTAAGATTTTTTTCAGTAGAGTATAATAGCTATTTGAGAGCGAAGTCATCAGGTTCTAGGCATCATACACCAACCCAAAAGTTTATGCCTAAAAGTTTGATCTAGTAATAATAGAGATCCTGCCTTGCTATAATTAAATTGTAAACCTTTAAAAACGGTGATTTTTTTTCCTTTCGTATGAAGAATCACAGAGATTGTGAGTAAGAGATCGAGAAAAGCAGAAAAAATTCCAACTGGGGTCTGTAAAGGTATAGATGCTTAGTTGCTTCAAAATTTATCTTGTGGATAACACATTGATCCTTGTGGAACCAATGTAGTAACCCTTATTTTTAGTAATATTTTTGTGTGAAATTATGGAAAATTGGGTTGTGTACAACTCACATTTATCTATCAATGATGACAAAACACTTTGATAAATCTCTGCTTAGTGGAACACTTAACTCAAACCTTTTAAGGGTCGCATAATATATGCCTACTGTTTATGGTCTATTGCAGAGCAGCGGTACTTTCGTTTGTGTAAAGGTGATGTGGTGTTGAAACATGATTTCACGGTTTGTTGTTTAAGCTTGAGATTTTAGGGGCTAGACAGGTATTCATAGTCAGGCATTTTTTGGCCAATTCTTTTTCCTCTTTCTTTTTAGCAGCTCTTTTTTGATAACTTCATCATTCCACATGATTCCCCCATCTCCAATATCCTCGATAATTAAGGGCTTTGCCAAGGCATGTAGAAGACCCAAGTTCAGTTCTGGGTCGGGAGAATTTTAATTGATTATCTCGGTCTTTCTGTTGGGACTTTGTATCCCTCTCAGCCCTTGATGGCCCTGATAGACCAGGGTCAAAGCCAGCCTCATGATTTATCTAAATTTTGTTGATGGGGAGCATGAAAACACCTTCATTAAAGAAAACATTGTAAAAAATAACCCTCATAAGTTTGTTTCATGTAGTTCACTCTCATGGATTGATCAAATTAACAACTTGTGCAGACCACTATCTGCCTAAGGTGCTGTGCACAATGTACATGCACATGCTGCTTGCTATACATAGGCCTATACACATGACAGAAAGTTTCCATGGCAGGGGATTGTATAGTACTTCATAATACATACATACGCTAATGGGTGTTGGGAATTAGCATTGAATGATCTGAGATCCATCTGAGCAAATCCACTACAATATTCTCCTCGTTCTCCTGCTTGTATTTTCATCTGTCTGTGGCTGATGGGTATGTTGCTAAACTGCTGTAGATGTAGTTGGGTGAATGGGCCTCCATCTCTGTGTTCTCCACAACAGACATGTATAGTAGCTAGAGCCTAGGGTCCTGTCCAGCATCCCGCCCCACCCCCCGCTCCCCAGCCCGAGCCCCAGTCCCTTTCAACTCACTCTGTTTGAACCCTCTGCCTTATTCTGTGACTTCATCCAAGGCTGTGACTAACTTTTTCCATAATATGTTTGTTTATGTTTGTTTTAATCCATATTGTTTTACTAAGTGAATCTGGGGACGGTCTACAGAAACTGCAGTTAATGTGTTTGTTTGCTATGAATGCATGTGTTTCAAATAGTAAAGGTGTTTTCTGTAATTCCTTTTTCGTCACATAAACATTATAATCCGACAACCTATGTTCGTATATTAAATATAATACAGTTATGTGTTGTCAGCTTCGCTTGATGAAATACAAAGTTCTTTTTTTTGTTCTTTAGCTGAGCTGAGGTTTTTTTAAAGCTCTTTGTGGGGTTGGGTCCATCTCGTCTCTGAGAGTAGGCCCTACTACCTGTTGTATATGTGTCACGACGCGGTGAAATCAGGCGCTCGTCAATTTTGGGGCCTATGGAGTTTTTGGTATCATCTGTAAGGGTGTTTATTTGTCTTGCTTTCGATGAAAAGATTATCCGTCTTTAATAGCAGTAGAGATATTTTGGATCGAAGGAGGTGGGGGTCACGTATTTTCGAAGGTAAAATAAGAAAGAAAATGGCTGCCAAAGTTTGGTGACTTCCAAAGCTTGAGAGTTCTTGAAAACTCTAAATTTACATTGTTTGCGCCTTTAATCAATGTTTTTTCAGTAAAAGCCACACAGCAAATTGTTTTTAAATGGACATAAAAAGGTGCTGGGTCAAAATTTCATAATTCGACAAAAATGGTCTAATGGGGGAAAAAATGCCGTTTTCTTCGATTTCATTATTTTGACGAGCGCCTGATTTCACTATGCTGCCTCACATATTAGCTCAGTTGTGTCCTGAGTTATGTGCACGCTTAAGTCAACAACTCGCTTCTGAGTACTTTATTAACCCCTTTCCAGTTTAATTGCCATTTATTTATTTGGCATGAAAACCTCAGCGTCTTGGGAGGGCATGGGGAAGAAGACACAGAAACTTGAAAAGCAAATTTTTCTGATGTAAATTTTTAATGATCCTAAACACAGCTTGGAGGAGGAAGAAGTGCTCAAAAAAATTCTCATAGATTATAAACTGAAACATTTATAAGATCTAAACCTGTTATCATTCCGCTCAATTTTTTCTCAGCCTGAATTTCAGAGCATATCTTGGAAAGTGAAGTTTTCAAAAAATTGAGATTTGGGGTTTCAAACTGGGGGTGGTGATTTTCTGTTTCTGCACCTTCTTGGATCATCCTAATCTGCAATATATTTTTTTTAAAGCTGTAAAATTCCTATGGTATATAGGCCTAAGAGAAAATCATTAAAAAATGCTATTGTGAAGGCTTTTCCCTTTCCACCAGGAAGTACAAAAACATTGTTCTGTCCCCTGAATGGAGAAAATACTCCAAAAGATAGAAACCTGTACAATCTTTATATAGTGCTACTTTTAGAAATGCCTCTCTTGATTTGTTTTCTTCTGTAAAATTTTTTTCAAGAACAGCCAGTGTTGTTTACAACATAACTTAAATCATAATTTAAAAATTCCATTCCTTTTTAGTTAATGAGAATGTGGAAGATGGCTATTATAATGTAGTATTTCATGATATACCCTCGTAGAGTATAAAGTTTCTGAGACTGTCAAACTCTTTTTCAAAGTTCTTCGGAACTCCTTCACACCTACCGTCTATTTTGGTTTGGTACAAATTTATTTCCACGTATTCAGCATGAGTGTCCTCACCTTGATTGAAGTTTGTATAGCAACCAGTGAGATAGCCTAGGTTTCCTTTCTTCCATTGCTGAGAGAGCCCTGCCATAACTGCTGAACATGGAAGTCCTTTCTGATCAACAAATAGTTTGTTTTGTTATACCCTGACTGCTTCAGTTTTGATTCTTTCTAAGAAAACATTATGTGTTGAAAGGAAGCTGATATGTGGGATATTTGCATTCGTCAATGGGAAATAAGAATGGATTCTTGCTATAGTCCGGTGGGAGAATACAGAAAAGAAAAGGACGTGATTATAATGTAATCTAAAAAACTACATTTTGACAACAGGGAATAGGCCTACTTATCTGAATAGTTTATTGTCTCCCAAAGATTGTCTGGGGAAAGATGTTTTCTTTGAAAATACTACAAATACAAGTGTAACAATTGTACAATGTAATTAAAGGAATAATCAAACAAACAGATTGGAGATAATTATATCATCCTTTAGTAGATCAGTATTTTAGATTAGTGCACTATATCAGTTTTTATGAGGATCAATTTGTATTGAAAACTTTTTGAAGGAGGATTGTCACATGGTTCATTTTAAAATTTATGAACACAATAGGTTATTAGGCCTGATGAGGACAGATTTTTTTATAATATTACTTTGTCTTTGGAGAATGTCATTGAAACTTGTTTGTTTTTTATCTCACGCTTGTTATTTATTTTTTAAGGGCAATATTGAAAGTTAGTATTTTGTAATCTACAAGATGATTTTAAGTTTGCTTTAGCTCCAAACCCTACCTGGTATGTGCGTGTGTATGCGTCTGTGTGTGTGTATCTGTGTGTGGTGTGTGTGTGTATGTGTGTGCATCTGTGTGTGTGTTTGATTGTTTGTGTGTGTGTATCTGCGTTACTCACCTACATCACTGTATTTGAATGTGTGTCAGGAAAGACATTATGCAGTTTCTACAGCCCTCCTCATGTAGATTTCCAACTCAGCCATTTTTTGGTTCTCCCTGAGTGAGGGAATCCCGGCTGATTTATTTACTGTTACTGATTTAATAAACGGTTTTTTCATGAACTCTTGACTTATTTTGTTTCTTTTTGTTTTTGTTTTTTTCATTAATCTTTTGTGTTTGTATGTTTATATTTGCATTTGTGTGTATGTGTGTGTGTGTGGGGGGGGGGGGGGGGGTATTTGAGTGTGTTGTACTTCTCCAGCTCTAAAGTGATCTTAACCCCTCGGGGCAGTGCCACTGACTGTAGTGTCTTTAGGCCATTCCCAAAGGGGGGACATTTCTCGTTCAAGCATAGTAGAATTGTAAAAATGGGCTGACTCATGTCACGCTCATAACTGTGCCTGATCTACAACAGGGAACTGCTGCTTTTTCTTTCCTGATTATTACTATTGTCATTATCCTCTACTTCTTTTGTATGTTTGTCACTCTCTTGTGACCTGCTATTTCCGGGGAGCCTTGACAGTCGAAGCAGACCTTGTGCTGTTGAAGCTAGAGAGGTGAGCAGTCTAAGTCTGATTCCCTGTAAAGACTTCTCTGTTGACACCCACCCCTTGGCGCATCTATGACCTTATTATGCTGTTGCGAGTGCCGTAAAACCCTCTACTATAAAAAAAATAATAATTTTAAAGTGATCTTAGTAATAGTGACCTTTTTTACTTTGTTGTTACCTGTGTCGAGGGAAGAGATGGGGAAGGGGCGTGAGTTCTCTTTATGTGTCATTATAATATAAGAAAGTGATGATGCTATAGTGTTTTTTATCAACCGTGTTTTGGGTTGGAACACAAAAGAACCAAAGAGTTCTTGGTGCCAGCTCACTTGACGGTCTACCGCGATAATGCTTCGTATCGCAAGGCTTGCGCACGGTAGATTAAACTTTATACCATCGCTCCCACTCCCCGGTGCAATATTTTCAAGAAATCGGAGGAGCCAACCCCCCCCCCCCCCCACCCCCGAAAAAAAGAAAGAATAATTATAAAATAAAATATTAAAACACCTGGCATACTGCAACCACGTGTTGAGTTTCACGACGTTGGCGTTTTTAATGCGGCCAAATGACAATCCTCCCTTTCTTCTTCTTTCTGTTTGTTACTCTCTTGTAACATCTCGAATCTTCTGGCGCTCATTTGACCTTATGCAGTACTAGTTGCGAGTGCCGTAAAACCTCTACTAAAACTTTAAAAAACTAAAGATCCCAAACCTGTGACAGCTCAGAGGGAAATGTTTGTGAATTGTAGTAGACTATTGGTTAAGTGGAACAGTAAGCCTATTGTTATCAACTGGACCACGGATAAATCGTGAGAAACATCGTAGTAGACCACCAAGTGGAACGGCACATATTACCCTCACGGAAAAGAAAGAAATTAATATTATCTACAAATTAGGTATTTTTGCGACCAGTTCAAGAAAACGCGCAATGGTAAGACAGGAGCAGGGAGGTAGCTGTGACCCCTGGTGCGAGAGCTGAACTCTAAACAAGGATACAGACAGAAGACTGGGGGGATAAAGGCAGACCTGTGGTCCTGCAGAGAGTAGAATGCTGCATACATTTCTGGACAGGGCCAGGAAGAGCCAGAAACGGGGATGTTCGACTTTGCCAAATGTTGCGGGTTGACCTCTTGGTCTTTTTTTTTCTTTTTGGTGTTTTTTTTGTTTTCGGTGCTCCCAACTGCATAAAATCGTTATGTGAGCACACAGGACACATTAAACAATTTCAGTGGGTAGGAAATTTTAATTTTTGCCCGGGTGACGGCCGAAGCCTACTTTTATCGATTTTGGACCAGCAAGGGATCTTTAATGTGCGCAACTTGCAAAAGGGACC